TTACTGTCATTGAGTAACGTAACGGAATACGTTACAGAATACATTTTGGGGCATGTATTCTGTATTCTGTAATGGAATACATTTTAAAAGTAACCTTCCCAACACTGTCCGTAACAAGCAAGCGAATGATGCAGAAAACAGATTTTTAGACGGGAAACTGTTCATGAAGTATACTAAGAGACAGAGAGAGAGAGAGAGAGAGCTGTGCATGAAGTTTGATTTTATCGGTGTGGAAGCAAAACAGCAAAAGTCAGAGGGAATTCATGACGATGTTTATGTGAAGCATAGTTTGGATCTTCTTTTGCTGCTGGTTCAGTCAATATTGTTTGGAGAGAGATAAAAACCTGCAGCTTCAGAATCTAACGCAAAAAGGAGGTAAACACAAAGATACCAGAATCAGCGAGCTGTCGGCCTTCAGCCCCGACCGTGTCCGTGCCGTCGGGTGAGAAAGGCGACATCTTGCTGATTCTGATCCGTCGGCGGGTCCGTGCTTTGTGTTTACGTCTTTGTGCAGAATCCGTGTACCTGCTCTCATTTACTGTTTTAGCTGTTTGGTGATTGTTGAAAATTTGTGAGGTTTAACCTGAGATTCTGGCATGTTGGGCAAAATAAATTTATATTAAAATAATCAATTCAGGATTTTAATGAATCGATATCACGTTATCCAAGCTAGAATCGATTTTAATCAATAAATCGATAATCAAAACACACCCCTACTGTTTATATGTTGTAGACTCTGAAAGGCCTACTTTGTCAAGACTTTTCTTAATGTGGCTAGGTGTTCTTACCGAAGAATAGACTTCTGCAGTCACTCCTCATGTTTTTATCTCTCTCTGATAGTTTGCTATGATTTGCTTTCCAAAAAGACTCAAAAGGCAGATACACAGGAAATGGTTAACAGGCAAATAATGAAAAAATTTACAAGGACAGTAGATAAGAGTACTGCACTGGTTAATAACTCACATTTCTCTTTTCTCACAGGCCAGTCTTCAGTCTTTTAACCCTTGTATGGTGTTCGGGTCTGTGAGACCCGTTTTCAGTTTTTCTCAAAAGAAAAATGAAACAATTAATTATTTTTTCAACCTGAAATTCATTGGCTTTGGCTTATTTTCTGTGAAGAACATAAATCCGAACTAATTTTCAATGACCTCATACTGTACCTCCCCCCACGCATTTACATTACATACAAGGTGTTCGGGTCCACTGGACCCAGGTCTAATAAAAGTGTTGAAAGTGTAGGTCCTGTGTTCCCACACTCTGTCTTCCTCCTTTCTGGTGCTGCTGATAGTGTTTTCTTCCCCTCCTGCTCCCGCACAAAGTTTCAACATTGTTGAAAATTCAACTATCAACACCGTCTGCTCTGACATTCCTGCACATTTTACCCTCTTTCTTGAGGGATCCAAATGTTATTTTCTCATACCCTGTCCCACCTGCAAATTAGGGGCATAATACTATAAATAAGACTTTGCCAGTGTGGTTCTTTATCACAACTGATCAAGATGGCAAAAGATTATCTGCTGTGAGGGCCATCTAATTGATTTTGGAAGAGAGAGGGGCTTCGGATGATGATGTTGACAAAGAGGTTTCAGAATATTTCACATGACAGTGACTTTGAAGAACAGGATGAGGTTGAGCACCATTTAGTAACAAAAAAAAGACGAGTACCCCATCTGCAGCCAGCTCCAGGACCAGAACAAGCCCACCAGACAGCAAGTGAAGAAATATGGATGTCAATAACTGGTGAAATTGAATGGTCTTCTTGCCCAAGAAATGAGCCACCCTGCAGAGCTGTTCCTGTGATAAGCCAGGGCCAACATGGCTGACAGTTACTCATGTGCAGGACATCAAGTCTTCATTTTAGCTTTTCATCCCAGATTCCATCCAGAAAATTATTCTGGATTGCAGTAATCTAGAAGGACGGTGTGTTTTTGGAGAGAGGTGGAAGGAGATGGACCAAATTGATCTGCAGGCCTACTTTGGGGTTCTTATTCTTGCAGGAGTTTTCAGGTCCAAAGGGGAATCCACAGAATCCCTGTGGGATGCAGAAACCGGCAAGAACCTTTCCGTGCATCAATGTCTCTGGAAAACTTCCACAAAATTTCCAGGATTATCCGTTTTGATAACCGAGACGACAGACCAGCTGGACGGCAGAGAGACAAGCTAGCTGCCATCAGGACAGTGTGGGATAAGTGTGTGCACCACCTCCCCCTGTTTTACAACCCTGGGCCTAATGTCACCATTGATGAGCAGCTGATCCCATTTAGTTGTGAAACATATTGCTTCACGTGTAAATGTGTTGTCTTTCCACTCACTCCACTTGATTATAACTGATTTATTTTTTTATAACATTTTATAAAAAAAAATTTAAAAAAACGAGAAGCACATTAATTCATAAATGTGATCTAACAAAGGTAAAGGGAAAAAATTAACCATGTTTGCTGTTTATATGGCTTGTAATTGGGATGAAGTAAACATCTGTTGAGTAATTTAACATAAAATTTTTGATAGTGTTAATTTGGAAAGCCAAAACTCTAGCGGGTGCACCAGACCCACGAACACTGGCTGAGTAACAAAAATATGAACACCACACAAGGGTTAAGAAATAGGCTCAGGTTGGTACTGTCCCACAGGCACATTCACAAATCGTCTCACAGGCTGAGTTGTCAGGCCAGTTTCTTCAAAACCCCTAAAGTCCAATTCTTTGACTAGATCGACTCTCAAGCCAGTTTCCAGAATTCTCTACTGCTCTGAGGTAAAACACTCTAGGTGAGTCTCCAGAAGTGGCACAACAGGAAGAATGTAGGTGTAATGATGAGCAGCCACAGTTACCTCTAGAAAGAGGTAGGAAGATTTATTCTATCAAAGGTTCAAGGTAATGCTGACACTATTGGCACAATGATTCTTCAACCAAGACTGGGTGTTGGGAAAAGACAGTCTGTCGATGGTTATACAACATCGAGTGTTTGCTGTAATGCTAATTTTGTTGATCTTTATTTTACATGGTCTTGATGTCTTCTTGGACATTTTACATATTCTCATGTCAATCAGGCTGAATAATGCTGCTAATAATAGGACTGAGGTGTATACACACCAGAAGCTATTCACAACAACATGGCAACCAGCGACCACAAAGGGGGATTAAAATTTTGCAACTTCAAGCAAATACAGGCAACATAATCACTGCCAATGTGAGCTTTTCTCAATTTCCAGGTGAGCAAGTAGATGGATTTTTACGATGGGAAACCCCTTAACACCAACCCTTAACAACGGTTACCTTGCTGGTTGGCCAATGGGGCTGACCACTTGTTCGCTCTTTTATATCATAACTCAGTGCATGAAAGCACACATGCCAAAGAACACGTTGTGATTAAATTAGCCACATCATTAGCTCCACAACAGATTTGTTCCACAAGTGCCAGTTTAGCTCAGTGGGTGAACAGGTGACCAAATACTGCATGGCCACAGCGGCCATGTTCGAGTATGACATATGGCCCTTTGCTGCATGCCCTCCACCCGTCTCTCACCACTATGCAATTTAAAAAAAGAGTTGTTCTGAAAAATCAGCACGAAAAGTGAGAAAATTTCTGTTTGGTCAACTATTTTTTTTATTATGCTACTGTCTCTTGTTTGGTGTCATTTAATTGACTGGATGATTGAGGTCTCCTCCTCATGCTGGTCACCAGGTTGGTCACACATTGCTGTGGGACGGCAGTCCATTCTTCAATCAGCTTTTCTGTTGGTCACAGAATAAGCTCTTTGAAAATTGACAGAGAAGATTTGGCAAGTTTTTCAACTCACAAATTTCTCCTTAGAAATGTTGCACCATTTAAGGGGAAGTAAACAGGCTATGCAATAAGATATATTGCTTAGAAAAAATAATCAACCAAAAACAAATTTCCTTCCTTTTGGTGCCAAGTTTTTATTCTTCTGTCAATTGAACACACAAAACAATAACACTTCCTGCTTGTGAGAAGAAGAAACCCTTAAAATGAGGGCGTCTCACACTACCATGTAGACCTCTCACTCTGAAGCCTGATCAACAGTGAGCAAAGGGTCAGAGGGACACCTAATCTAAATAAATACACCAAACCAACAAATTAAACTAACTGTGCATGTAGATGCCTGAAAATGTCATAAATCTCTTGTTGATATTTATATTTTTAAAAAGGGCATCTGGGGATACTAGTCTATGTGCGTGGAGTAGACATTTGCACAGCTGACTGAGCACGACCATCAGGTGTTCCAATAAAAAACAAAGACGTGTGTTTGCTTTCTTTATAATATGATCTGAATTTTGGCCTGGACCTGCACTGCACACAACACACAACCAAGAACATGTAGCTTTATTGGAGCAACAATGTTACTTCAGCCCTGTGTGCTGGGATTCTTTGGTACCACATCTGGCCCAGCTGTTCAGCTGCAGAGTCTACAGCTTCACATTGAATCCCTCAGAGATGGAAAAAGTGTGATTTTTGAACATGTGTATATGTGTGTGTCTGTGTCTGTGTATGTGCGCTTTGTCTTCTCTGAAGAATGAGTCTGGAAATTCTTTCCCACTGTGCTATAAAGAGCTTATGTGTACATGTAGTTTCAGGCATTAAAAGTGGAATAACTGAAATGCAGAAGTGCAGATAAGAGCAAGTGGACGTAAAGTGACTAATGAAAAACCAATCTCAGCAGACACATTCATTTAGGGAGAAATCTGCACAGGAAAGGCCCCGGTGCCCACTGCTCAGTTACTTCACAGCCAGATAAATCTGCATGCGTGTAAAACCAAAGAGAGGCACACAGAGAACCTTTACTTTGCTTCATCTTCATTTCTCTTCTGTCTGGTTTCTCGTCATCCAGAGCTAGCAGAGGAGAAAACAGCGGAATAGATTTGAACAGCGCTGGGGAGGTGTAGCTTTCACACGCTGAGACCCCCACCCACCTCCCTCCCTCTCGGTCTCTCTCTCTCTCTCTCTCTCTCTCTCTCCCTCGGTCAGCGCGTGCCTCTCGGTTAGAGCAGCAGCTCGTGCTCAAGTGGAAACGCACACCGCAAACATACTCACTGCTGAACGGGCGGCACGAGACTCTTCCTCACCTCCATCACCAAGCGTCACTTTCTTCAGTGCACGAAGGGATGCTAAACAGGAAGGTTTCATCACCGCCGCCACCACCATCATCATCAACCGTCATCCTCATCTGCGAGAGAGAGAGAGAGAGAAGCAGCGGCTCTCCGTGGGCTGAAAAAGTTGAGGAAGATAGGGTTTATTAAAGGAGCACCGGAGGGGCTCGTGCCCGGCGTTAACGCGGGATAATCCACCCGGCACGGTCTGATCCTACTTTGGAGTGTGCAGGACCTGGTGCTGAGTGGGATTTGTTAACGGTGCTTTCCAGGATCGTTCCGTGCACCGTCCCCGGTGCTGACTCTGACCTCCGGCGTGTTTGTTTTTTTTAGTCCATTTTTTCTTCTTCTTTAAACGATCGGCCCGTTATTGTTATTACTGTTATTATTAACGGGTCCGGTGTTTAATCCCATCGGTGTGAGCTGGATCTGGTCTCTGGCGGTTTAACGGGATCCCCACATGTGCCAGCGGATCAATAACAGCTTCCTGGCATTTATCTGTGAACTCCCGTCATGTCCCTGATGGATTTCTTCCACACCACACGCACTTAATGGATTTCTAACGGTGGTGTAACGAATCCCGGGACCGTCCCGGGTGGACTTGAGGGTTAGTTTATTGACCGACGGTAACCTCAGCCCCCTCCCCGGGAGCAGAAACAGCCCGCAGGTATAAAGCAGGTGTTCACATCTGGGTTACCGAGGAAAACGGGACGTGCAGCAGAGAAAGCGCGGTCCTTTGGACTGAAGTGAGTCTGACTAATAGCGGATCACCCCCGGAGAGGTACCCTTCCACCCCGGGGACCGACTGCTGTTTAAAACGGACACGGAGATCATCGCTTCCTAGTGGGGGCGAGAGAAGAGAAGTTACCGGAGAACCAGAGGAGTTTTTCTTCTTATAATATTTACCGATGAACCTGTAATGTTTGGACAACCTTCATGATCAATATCTGAGTGATTTCACTGAAGGAACTGATTAATTGATGGTGGATTTTAAAAAGGGGGTTTTCAGCTCTTTCTGTGGATTTCTGTCCCCACCGAGCGGCATCCATGTAATCAATACAATCCTGGGTTATCAATCAGTTTTAATCCAGCTTCCATCCGTCAGGCTCATGAGCTGGAAAGCTGGGATCGTTTAGACCTCGTGGAGTAGCCGAGTGAATTATCTCCTCCACGGTGAAATAAACCCACATGCTGGCCGTAAATTATCCACTTAACCCCCCTCAGGAGAGGAAAAGGAGAGAGAGAGAAACCGAGTGCTATAGACACAGACCGCAGCGAGAGAGTTATTACCGTTTTTAAACTACACCTTTATCAGCAGCAAAGCTAATTTTAATTTGAAATCCATCAGAGAAAAGGGGTCAAACGGAGGCGCTTCCTCAATTTTTAACAGCAACTTTAAGTTTGTGTGACAGAGAAGTCACTACAAAACTGTACTTTAAAAACAAGATTACTGAAGTATTCTGCTTTGGGACAAAGCCCTAAGAAAACTGAGTAATTACAAATTAATCTCGAGCTTGTAATAAAAAAAAAAAACAAAGACAAAAAACTGGATTTCTTGACAAAGATCCGAATTCAAAACTTTATTTTACTCAAAATAAGATCTGAACATATGCTGGTGTGACTTTGATTTGATTAAGTCTTCATTTGATTCCAAACCTTAAATGCAATCATACTAATCTCCAAGAGACTTGTAACACATCTTAATGTCTTGTAAGTTATTATAATCTTCGACTGTAACATTATGACAATCCCATAATAGTCCGAAAGGGATTTATTTATGGTTTATTGCGGATGTGTAAGAGCTTTAACTCAGAGCAAATTAACTTTACTCGTACCTTTGGTTGAGGGTCTTTGACTTGGTAACGTGACCGTTTTTAAAGTTCAAACTGATGATTTCCATCATCCATAACTGACTTGAATTTACAATCTGAGAGGAAATCCAGATAAGGTTGCTTTTACAGCATAAGGCTTTATTCCCAGTTTTATACCTTGTGGTGGTTAAGTGTTTAGCTTACCCAGCTGATTTCCAGTCTATGGATGATACGCTCACTGTATAGCCACATCCTCAACGGCATACCTCCTCCGCTCTGTCCCTCTCCTCCTTCTCCTTCTCAGGCTTCACTGCTCTTGAAATCAAGCCATGCAGCATTGATTTTTTTGTTTCTGTTCACCGCAAAACCAAAACGCACATGACCATCTCATTTTTTCTGTTTTTTCAGTTTGGTTGCCTGAAATGTAAGACGTGCAGCAGTGCTGATTTTTCACATCTAGGCAGAACTCAAGGACGTTCATAACAGTCCATCAGCAGCAAGGTCAGAGTTCAGTTTTTCAGATATATAACTGCTGGAGTTTCATCAGCACAGACTGATAGGCTGACAGGCTGAATCAAGACTGGAATCTTTTGGACGATCAAAACACATTCAATCACATCAAGTTTACTGTAAACAAGCTGAAATCTGACCTGTGCATAAATGAATATTTTTTTGAATCAGAACCTGTTTCTGCTGCTGAACTTTGACATTATTTCTTTGCTGTTCTAGTGACATTTTAAGCTAAATGGGACTAAACGACAGCAGCCCGGGAGCCATGCGGAACGGCCGTGGCCTCTCGGATCAGTGGGCAGAATCAGTGGTGGTCCGGCCTCGAACCACTGAGCGCCACATAACGGTGCACAAGCGCCTGGTGCTGGGCTTTGCCCTCTCCATACTCACCCTCATTATCGTAACAGCAGTAGCCGTTGCGCTCAACGTCAAATTTGAGGACTGTGGTGCACGAGATCGCGATGAATCAACTGGAGAGCCGAGTTCCCGAGGCCCCGGTGGGTCTGCAAAGTTGAATGGAGGCAGAGGGGAAAGGACGGGGGAGAAAGGGGACGAAGAGGTGGTCCAGCCGTGGAGAAACTCACGATTACCAGGCTCGGTGAGGCCTCGGCACTACGACCTGCGGCTTGCCGTCTACATGGATAACTTCACCTTCTCTGGCGAAGTCAGCATTGAGCTGGAGTGCATTAATGCCACCCGTTTTATTGTGCTGCACGCTGATCGCTTAGAGGTATGTTGGCGCTTTGTTTTTGCTCACAGTGAGGATAGTGATAATTTAAATTCAAGCATGTAGCAGTCTAGAGCCCAAGGACTCCTAGGTAATGTCACTTTTTACAAACTGAATGACCAACATGCTTGGGGTTGTCCAAAATTTTAGGTTCTTAGGTTCTTTTAGGTTTTTGGTTCAAAATCTACTTAGGCACAGACCCACCCGAAATAATCAGACCTGTTCCAAAATGCAATCAATTAGACTTATCAAAGAACCCAAACACCAAATATAAGCTGCTTTTACTGATGATTACAGCCCAGAGCTTTTCCTCAGCTCACTTGACAAAGTTGAATGTGAGAATAAAAAAGTCCAACTTTGGATTTTTAGCCTGCCAGATCCCAAACACTAGGTTAAACTGAGCCTGTGTTAGAATAGCAAACCGTCTGCTGAATTTACAAAGAAGCAAAAGCGAGAGTGTTTACCTGTACGCTCTACCCCAGCAGTATCCTCGCCTTAGCCAGCCTGAGTATTTCCAGTGTTTTGTGAAAAAAAACCCAACTTTAAATCAGGTACCAACCTGCTTCTCCTGATTTTTGACTTCATGAGTGAAAATACCTCTATAGCTATCCTATTCAGAACCTTTTCTAATGTACAGCAGATTATAAAATTAAACCTTTCTCTGCACTGCACTGCATTTGAGACATTTAATGCTTCTTACACAACTCTAGATTTTCAGTGCTCTGAAAGAAGTTGAAATGTGACACCTTCAACTGTGGCAACCTTTTCATGGCATTAACAAATGATATGATGGACATTACTTCAACGTACCTCTTACCTCAAAACACAGACATTGAATCATAAATTAGTTTGAATCCATTCAGGTGTGACTGAACCCCAAACCTGAGACCCACACCAGTAACAATAAGACCCTGATTGACACAATTAAGCTTAATGGAACAAATTTACATCTTTGTTACTGGATCAGGTCTTGGCTGTGAAGCCCTCTACATCGTAGTCCAGACTCAACAATTCTTAAACACTAGACATACTATAGTCAAATAATAGTTAAATAAACTCAACTTTATGAAATGGGCAATGCTGGTAGATTATTAGCTATATTGGCTGTGCATTGGTTGCTGTTGGTTACGGCTGTTTTTGTCTACTAAGTTACAAAACATAGAGATGAGTACTGGTATTGCATCTCATTACTACAGCTGAAGTCTCCGGGTCCATGAAATGTCAGCAACACTATTCCTGGCCAGTTTTAAATTGGGTACTTTTTCTTTCAGGCATGAATTAAACTCTTGGAGATTTACAATTTTCTTGAGAAGGTAGTGCAGCAAAGCCTTTTGAACCTTTAAAATGACAATAGTTACTCCCGTTGGGAGCATGAATGCCCCAATTTAATGAGTAATTCTGAATTTCTATTTGCTGTTCTTATATGAAATTTAAGATAGTAGGCAGCTTGGCAGAATTGAATTGGATACCAGTGACCCCACCCCTAACCATACCAGATTAGGTTATTATCATTATTATTATCATTATTATTATTATTACTATTAATAATAATAATAATAATAATAATAATAATAATAATAATGTGAATACATTTAATTTTATTATAAATACATAAATAAATATAATACATAAATACATTTTATTTATAGGCACCTTTAAAGACCCTCAAGGTCACCTTACATTAGTACAAAAACAGGTCAATGAAAAATAAAAACAAGTATAAAAGTATAAAAGCCAAACAAGGTAAAAATAGACTGAAATGGAATCATGATGAAGGGTGTGCAATTTTGAACAAATAGGTTTTAAGGTGTGATTTAAAAGTGGAGAGAGAGTTTGTAGTGTGGAGCCGAGTTCCCGAGGTGGAAGTGCATTCCAAAGTCTCAGGGCAGCTCTGAGTCCCGTAGAAGTCAGCCGAGCAGGTGGAATAGAAAGAAGAGGAGGTGAGGAAGAGTGGAGTGTACAAGGGAGTGAGTATGTATGGAGAAGATCAGATAAATATGGGGGAGTGAGGTTATGAAGCGCTTTGAAAGTGAGAAGCAGAATCTTAAATTGACACGGAGCTGAACTGGAAGCCAGTGGAGCTGTTTATGAACAGGTGGTATATTTTGAGGAGATCTAACTTACCCCATTAATCCAGAAGTTTATTTTATTTATTTATTTATATATTGTTATTAATATCATTTTTTGCATCCCCAAATAGAAACCTTGTAACAGAAGACTTGTAGCCACAATGCATGTAAGGGAGTTGATGTCAGCGGTAACATCTTTTCGTCTCAACTCTAATAGTAGAATGAGAGATTCCTGAGAGCTGACTTGTTTGAGATAAAACTGGATGATGGTTGGACTAAACTTGTTTGCAGTAACTTATTTGCAGTCATGTTATTGTTATTGAGAATGGTCAGTCATGATCTAATTACTGTTGAATCCAGCTCCGTACAAAGTCTACATCATGAAACAGAGATTGGTGCGGTGCAGCCTGTTGATGTAGACGTTTTGATCTTTTGATAATGTTCCAAACAAAGCTCCTTGTTTGCATCCAGTGGTCTGCTCTGTGCTGAAAGCATCCCGACGCTCTCTAACAAAGAATGTTTATTTCCAGATTTGGCCTCGGAGGTTTCTTTAACGAGGCTAATTAACCGTCAAAGTTGCTGTTTCAGCCCAATTTCGGAGACAAGTGCATGGTGAGAGAAAGCCTCAGAGAAACGCCTGAGCAACGTGATTTTTCAGGCTGGTCATCTCGGCTAATGTGAGAGAAGGATAAATCTGTCTAATTTGGGCAGAGGCCAATAAAAAACCCTGCAGCCCCTTTTGTGTTTGTGTCAGGGCACACTGTGAATTAAGAGGTGCTGTCGGGTGCCAGGCAGGTCTCCTAAGGTATCCTCAGAGTTAATGCATTATGAAAAGAAAAAAATGTCAAGATGTTGAAAGGCCAGAAAACAGAAATGTGAATAAAAATAGATGCGGCTGGTAGCAAGGGGAGGGATAAACACTCCTGAAAAGAGAGCTTAATTCACAGATTCAAAGAAATTGAATGCAAAATGCATTCGAGACGAAGTGAAGTGAAGGTTTTCGGTCTGGAGATGTCGGCTGACCATTTTCCCCAACTTGCCAAACACTGTCAGTTCTTATCCAGATTTCAGTCCCTCCAGACAGCCAATGATTTAACTCCATGTCAAGTAAAATTAACATGCAGGCGCGCCTTCCATTTGGCTAATTTATTCCTCCTCCAGTCCTCCTTCCTACATCCTCTGATTGTGACCTGGAAATCGCTGGATGTTCCAATCGCTTAAATGCACCACAGAGGAGATGAAGAGATGAGGAGCTCCGAGCGCAGAAACACAAGCATGTCCCATGGGGAAATTTTCAACACCCTTTGAATTGCAATGCCTGTACAGTAGTCAGTAAAATCTGACACATCATGCCCATTCAAGCTGAGATGGATTTGATATCTGAATTTAATATATATGATTTTATTGCTTTTTTTCCTGTGCATATACTCGCCACCCGCTGTGTGTCATTGTTAAAAGAGATGAAGGTTACGGCTTTACATTGTGTTAAAGTGGTTAATAGTGCAATCACTTCAACACGCCGTGGTTGCTAAACTGGTTGTGTAGCACAATGCACTTGTATTTGAAATATGTGAAAATAACATGCAATCACTTATAGACATTTATACTAGTTAACTGTAAAAATAGTTTGTGTTGGAATATAGAAGCTGAAATTAGTTGTCTTCTTTTAATCTGGGGTTTCAGCTGACTGAGGGCAGCACAAGTATTGATGAAGGGCAGCTGTGTGAACCTTAATGAAAATGAGCTCAGGGTTTTCACACTTTGTTATGTCAAGGCCAAGATGCAGAGTAGGTTGTGACCTGTTTAGGGTTACGGTTGGATCAACCTAATGATAGCCTTAGACTTGAGGAAAATGGGAATGTTATAACAGAACTATAAAGAGTTTGATTTGGAAGGTTGGAAGGACTCCAGGCTTGTTTAGCATGTGTCTAAAATATAGCCCTAATATCCTGCCTTTGGGGTTCATTGCTGCCCTGATACATGTTAACATGTTAAATGTGATACTTTAAATACATTATAAAGACTAAGTTGACATTGGGGAGTGCTGTTCCCTGTGCCTTGTATTTGAGAATATATCTATGTTTCGGTGTTCTTCTAATATGGTTTAGATTGTGTAGAACGATGTAGTCTTTCTATGTGACTCACTCCTCCTGAACATTTTTGGGGGGTTAAAAAGTTAAAATCTCACCCAGTCAAATATCTAGTCAGCCTTTTGGATTGCAGTCTGTTGTTGGGGGCTGCACAGTGGAACAGTGGTTCAATCTGCCTCACAGCAGGGTTCAAATAAGTTTGAATCCATCATTTGGCTGGGGTGTGTGGTCTGTGTGGAGTTTGCATGTTCTATGCGTGAGCACTCCAGTTTCCTCCTACAGTGTAAAAGATATGCAGTTAGTGGGGTTTGGTTGGGTGTGTTAGCCCTGTGATCTGTCCAATATGTCGCCCATCTCTCATCATATGGCAGCATTAATAGGCTGATTTATTAATGGATGATGCTGATGGTATAAAAGGTGACCAAACTTTACTTTTTAGCTTTGCTAAGTTTTAGTAAAGGGTCTGTATTCTGTTCCAATTATATTGTGAAAAAAATATGTACAGTATGATAAAGTAGGGATGTAAAATATTTCAGGGTATATGTTCTTTTAGAGAACATATTGATATTTTCATTGGGCCGTGTTCAAGTAATTCAGGGTTAAGTTTAAGGCCAACTATGATTGCAACACTTCTCGCTGAAGCCCATTGGTGTGAAGCAGAAAGCCCTCCCTAATAAGAATGTGAGCTTCCTGCGCTTCCTCGTGGTCCGATCTTGGGGCGTGCTTAGTGTCGGAGGGTTCATTAACACTGGGAGACTTTTTAGACCTCACTGGTTTCTCCAGTCAGGCATAGATCACCGAGTGGTAATGAAATCTGTTTTAAAGTCATCTTCACCAACTTCTT